AAAGTATACGCGAGTAGTTTGGAGTCATTTGGAGTAATTTGTGACATGTAAATCGTCAAAAATGGAAAGTTCTCCGTTCGCTTACGAAGTCCTCGTTTGAGCGATTGACTATTCCTTCGCAATTTAGCATCACATTGGAAATGGGCTGAACTTGTCCTGGATTGGATTTTTTCCGATCATTCCCCTAGGAGGAGTTCGCAAGAACGTGCGTAAAATGGCTGAAAACCGCACATTTTTGAAAATGGCCGACTTTCTGGGGGGCGGGGCTAATGGAAGGCAATTTGAAATATGTGTGCAATCATAATAGCAATATGTATACATCGTTTCGTGAATATCGGATTAACTATATCCGAGTACTTTGGAGTAATTTGCGACATGTAAATCGTCAAAAATGGTGTATTCTCTGTTAGCTTACGACCTCCACGATTGAGCTATCAAAAATGTTCTTCTCAATTAAGTATCATATTGGATAGGGGCTGAACGTGTCCTGGATTGGAATTTTTCCGATCATTCCCCTAGGAGGAGTTCGCAAGAACGTGCGTAAAATGGCTGAAAAAAAAAAAAATCTTTCAAAATGGCCGACTTTCTGGGGGGCGGGGCTAATGGAATGTATTTACAAATATATCCGCAATTCCATGAGAAATGTCTGTGCCAAAATTTGTGAAGTTCTGAGAAACTATATGTGACTACCACACAATAGGGGGCGCTAGTGAGCAGTTGTTTTGAAAAATTAAGTTATTTTTTTACATTCTTGAAAAAGACGTGGGCTGTGACGCGTGTACCAATTTTTGCGTACCGAAACACATTTTAGCTCATCGTCATAAAAAAAAAAAGTACAGGCCACGCCCACATTTGTCATTCGTTGTGACACTTTAAATATAAGTCCATACTCATCCCCAGAGTATGTATCAAAAAAAAAAAAAGATTTCGTCCATCAGTTCATGAGTTATACATTTGTCATGTTTTTGGCGCCCCCTATAGTCCAAAATGGAAATTACTTTTTGTGCTTATTCCCCAATACAGACTGAACCTTACCACCAAATTGTGTGTTTTTTTGGTACATTGTTGATGAGTTATGAGCATTTCTATCTAAGCCCCGCCTTTTTGCGAACACGTTTAGAGTAATGATGGCCACATTTATCGACTGAACATGCTCATTTCCTACGATAATGTGTCTGACCCTTCGGCGATACTGTATACTGAGTTTGGTGTTGAAAAACCAAAATTTGAAATGAAGTGAATATTTAACTGTTTTTAAAATTATGCTAATTAAAAAAATTTAAAAAAGTAGGCGGAGCTCAGGGGTACAACGACATTATATGTAGAGCAGGTCCACCCGAGTAAGTGTGAAAAATGTCAGGTCATTTGGAGTTACGGTGCGACTTTGTACATCTTTCCAAAAACGGAAATGGCCATAGGTGGCGCTAGAGAGCATGTTGAACAATTTGAACAAATTGAGTCCACAATATTGTAGTTTTCACCGATTGAGGAATCTGTGCAAAATTATACAACTTTTTCAGCGTTCTAAAGGCCTCAAAAATAGGAAACGCCAGCAGAAAAAAAATAATTCCACCAATAACAATAGGTTCCTCGCACTTCGTGCTAGGACGCCGTTGGGTCCTAGCGCTTCGTGCTCGGGCCCTAATAAGAATTCCACCAATAACAATAGGTATCCTTGCACTTCGTGCTAGGACGCCGTTGGGTCCTAGCGCTCCGTGCTCGGGCCCTAATAAATGATATTTATATAGCGCCTTTCAAGGGATCTAGGTCGCTGTACATGGTGGACAAACAAAACAAACAGACAATCAACGGGCAAACCAAATAAATAAATAAAGGAAGCCGGGGGACCAGAAAAGGGCTAGGGCCCGAAGGCCAGGGTGAACAGGTGTGTTTTTAGTAGGGCTGCACGATATTGAAAAAAACTGACATCGCGATTTCCCCCCACCCCCTCCGGTATATATTGCGGTTTTTTAACCTGTTAAGCCCCAAAGTCCCGGCGGGTACTTTACTTTTTTTTTTCACGACACTGTGTCTCAGGGGATCTTAACATTTAAGAACCTATTAATGTGTTATACCAGATTAACGGAAATAATCTCAGCTAACTGACGATACAAACCATTTTTACCAAAACAAAACACAAGTCTCATAAGAAGCATCTAAATGACCCCTGAGTGAAAAATGCTAACGCACTTTGGCACAGAACTCAAGATAAAAGTACCCTTATTACTTATCGTAGCTGCACATACAAGATATCCGATTAAAGCTGAGGTTCCACAGATTATTTAGGTATCATCACTGAGTGATCCGAACTCGGACAGGGGAAGCAAACACAGACATCACAACACGTACCTTTACGGAGCTTCTAGGGGAGATCGTCTCACCGTAGCTGTCAATCTGATCAAAAGACGTGTTCAATGGCATTAAAACGAGAAAAAACGCGGCTGAATCGGTTCATCCAAAGGTTTTTAACGTCTCTGTATAAAAAAAAAATATTTAATTTATAATCCATAATTCCATTTTTATGTCAAAATCGCAGAGCAAAAGTTAGCTACTAATGGTAGCCACCAGAGTGGCTGCTGCTTCTGGTCTTGGCTATGCGGCAGTCCAGCGCAGTCTAACACACACACACATTACCAAATAAGGAGTGAGAGTGACGCGTAGCCAAAACCGGAAGCTGCATACACTCTGGTGGCTACCATTAGCAGCTAACTTTTGTGCTCCGATTTTTACATAAAAATGGAATTATGGATTATAAACAATTGCTTCAAAGCCACATATACATTATCAACCTATGGATCAACCGATTCAGCCCCGTTTTTTCTCGTTTTAATGCCATTAAACACGTCTTTTGATCAGATTGACAGCTACGTTGAGACGATCTCCCCTAGAAGCTCCGTAAAAGGTACGTGTTGTGATGTCTGTGTTTGCTTCCCCTGTCGCGAGATCGGATCGCTTAGATACTATACTTAAATAATCTGTGGAGTTTCAGCTTTAATCGGATATATTGTATGTGCAGTTTCGATAAGTAATAAGGGTATCTTTATTTTGAATTCTGTGCTAAAGTGCGCTAGCATTTTCTAAAAAAAATGAATAAAACCACATGTCCCTGCGGTGTGAATATCGCGCATGCGCATATCGCGGTTATCGCCATGACACGGTATATCGTTCAGCCCTAGTTTTTAGTGATGATTTGAAGATGTCCAGGGAGGCAGCATTACGGATCTCGGCAGGAAGTGCATTCCAGAGGGTGGGGGCCGCAACACTGAATGCCCTGTCACCAACAGTTCGGAGGCGAGAGCGGGGGATGGAGAGCAGGCCCGTGTCTGAGGACCGCAGACTCCGAGAAGGGGTGTAGGGATGGAGGAGGTCCGATAAGTACTGGGGGGCGAGGGTATAGAGGGACTTGTACGTGAGGATGAGTGTTTTGTATTGAATCCGGGACTTGACCGGCAGCCAATGTAGGTGGATGAGGGTGGGGGTGATATGGTGCCATGGCTTGGTGTGGGTGAGAAGCCTGGCGGCAGAGTTCTGGACGTATTGGAGCCTATCCAGGGTTTGGCTGGGAACCCCGGACAGGACTCCATTGCAATAGTCCAGACGGGATGTAATGAAGGCGTGTACAAGGGTTTCTGCCACAGAGTCAGAGTGCAATTGAACATTGTCGTAAAGAACATGGTAGACTGTGGACATACTTGAGAAAAAGTCTCAACTATTGCATTGAGTACACTAGTCTGTCCAAGGCCCCTGCACATATTACAATAAACCAGAAGGACCATGTAGTTTGAGGGAACCGATCCAATTATCCCAGGCCCTTCACATGCTGCTTGCACCAGTCCTTTGTTCGAGATGGTGGAGGTACTTAGCCAGATAGAACAAGTTTATCAGTCAGGACTTGAATAAGAGTACAAGCCTCTCCGATTCAAACAGCAAGACCTGAGATGCTGAAAGATGAAACAACACTTTGGCCAAAAGGATGTACATTCCACTCTGACAGACAGAAACAGTCCATTTGTTTACGTAGTCATTGTCTCTGTTTTTGAAAGCATAGCAGAGAGACTGCTGGAGAGACTGCTAACAGTATTTGTCAGTAATATTGCTGTCCATTTAGAGGGGACCATGAATTGTCTGCCCACAGCAGCTGTCCTCACTTTGGACCAGATTTAACCAGATGGAGATAGACAATGGAAGGGTTAAGGTCTAGAACTTGGCCTTCTGGGACGATTCAGTTATTCTTGGGTATCCAAACTTGATTAAGTATTGCAGTATGGGTTCAGTCTTTAACTACCGATGAGATCCATAGATATTTAAGAAGATCACCAACATGCTTTACCTGGATATCCCTTTGGTATGCTGTATCTGATTTAGACCAATTAGTATTCATATATTACTCTTTTCCCACAGTTTCAGTGTGCCAAATCACTTGTATTTCTAAGCAAAAGAGAGACTTTTTACACTTCATACATGTCTTTGCTCATCATTCAGCTTAATGAACACATTGTTAAAAAAAGGACCACAATTTCTCAATGTATGTTGGCTTGAATAATATTGACATAGAGTTGGTTAGTGTTGCCGATCCTATTTTCTAAATTTCCTCTCATGTTCCTAGGATATTCAATTAGGCACTATTTTTCAATCAATTACCAGAAATCTTCCATGGACTGAATAACTTATCTGCAAACAAGTTTTTGACTGCTTTTGCTAATACAGAATAGTGATTCTGATAGTGTTATCTGTGTTTTGGTCTGCATTATCACCTTGCAAGTGCAGATAAACAGTGTTCTATTTGATTTTACAAGTTCTAGTTATCACTTACCTAAGGCCCTAACCCTAAGGCCTCAAAATGGCTGGTTTTTGGCACACGGCAAAATCAAATTTCCATTCATTTTGTATACCTTTTCCCAGTCTAAGATTACCAGCCAGATTTCTACTGGCCCACCACTTTCTAAATAAAACACATATGATCTTATTTGACTCTCCTGATAAAAATATACATATCATAATTAATCATTTGGCATCAGAGCAACCATAGTTTTTGTTTATTTGAGGAACTTTTCAAACCTGCATTATATTTCAAACCACATATTTTAAGGCCATGTTTATAAATGCATCTGAATATCTCCAGTTTTCATTTAGTACATGAAAAATGGCAAACCTGAAGCTTTGTTTATGTGCACTAATTGCATTATTCGTATAGAAGTTAGAAGTTTCAATTGAATGTTTATCTTTGTCTTTGTTTCTGTTTATATTTCCACTATGTATTTTTCTAACTTTACTTTTTTTAGAACTTATGTTATAAATTGTATAATTAGCAGTTATCCTGCTGTGGTGTGCTGGGTGCTGTGATAAAGATACTCATAGCTCAGTGAGAGATTCTAAGATACAGTACCATTCCAGTGACATACATCCACTTGACCAAAGACTTTGTTGAGTACAATCCAGGTATCTCGGCAACGAGAAAGGAACAGCAAGGAAGAGCTGTTTTTTTTCCTTTACATTTTTTGCCCAACCATTGTCACACAGAAAAAAGGATGCAGTGTTGATGTCTTAATGTATTGCTGGCTCACTCCAGGCCAAACGTGCTGGTTTCCTCCACCGCAATCAACAGTTTCTCATACAACATGGTGTATGAAGGGTATGGAGGCAGGTCCAGACGATTAAAACAGGTGTGAGCCCTGAGAGAGGAACAGACAAAGAGATAGACAAGAGTAGTTAGAGAGTTTGGAGATTCATTTCTAACAGAGAATACATGATAATCACATTATGTTTTTATGATTTTTTTAATTTATTTTTTAATTCAATTTAACTTTAACAACATCTAGGAGAATAAAGGACATTAACACAAAAAAGTATCTATCTATGTGGTCTTTCTATGCTAACCCGTTCCTTAAGTATTTTTGCAATACGCACTTGGTTTGTCAAAAGATATAAACAAAGAAAAGATGCTAAGTACACTTACCATTCTGAGACGTCTGCTTTGTTGCCGATTATAGTGAGCAACAGACATCTCAGTCAAACATTTCTGGCTGAATAAGTCTGATATGATTGCCAGTCTTAATATGGCCAACCTTTTATTTCCTGTCCTTTTTCCAAAAGGGCAATTGGCCACTGTACATATTAACAAACATCACTCTGACAACAGGAAATAGTGCATTTGTTGGATACTATTTTCATCTGTGCATTTATACAAAGTTGTTGCTCTTGTGAGTATGACTGGAAGCTCGACCGTGTTAAAAATAAACTACAGTGCACGTGCTCCTGGTAATAAGGTAATATCTTAAGGATTGCTTGTATCGGATACACACACTAAATCAGTGGTTCTCAAACTTTTTCTGTCATTCCCCACTTTGAACAGGAGGGCCTTTTCAAGCCCCACCTGTTCCTCATCGCTCAAATAAAATGGTAGGCCAAGCTTCAAATTGTCAAATGTATCGTTCTATAACAGGGGTCTCCAACCCTTTTTTAGGATGAGAGCTACTTTTACTCCTCTTTTTTTTTTTTTTTGCAGTGTATATATTTAGCACATTTTAACATTATTATATGCTTACCTTTAACCTTTGTGTGCTGTTTGGGTCTGTGGGACCTGTTATCAGTGTTTACTCAAATAAAAGGTATTCGATTTAATTATTTTAACCTGCTTTATTGGGGGGTGGACCTCACATCCTCTAGGGGGGTCCGGGGGCATGCACCCCGGAAGATATTTTTCTAAATGTTGAAGTTAAATGCATCAATCTGGTGCACTTTGAGCACACAATGAATTTATGGATACAGCTCTCAACACTCATATGAAAGGGAGCTGTATACTTTTCAATAATCCAAACATCTTTAGAATATGATCACAACCAATAACAAATCATTTAAACTTCTTTATTCTTATCTTATGTTACCTAGTTAGCATTCTTTCTTTTTATTTATGCATATTTTACTAATCACTCCCCTTTTAAACAGTTTTTTTTACTGTCCTATAGTACACATTGGAATGATTTCTTACTTTATTTTTTACAACTAGGCTATATTAAATAGATAAAGGTGTGCTCTCTCTAGCTCTCTCGCTCTCTGTCTCGCTCCCTCACAGAGGCTGTGTGCTCCTCCGTGGCGATGACGGCTTGCGTTAAAAAATAATAATAAACATAGGCCTATTTGTAAAGTGGGGGGACACAAACGGGATTTCGAAAAGTGTCACGGTTAAACTCCTTATGAAGTGGTGAGATGCCGCTCCACATTGCTTTTCTTCCCGACTGCAACGCTGTTGTGTGTGTGTGTGAGAGCGTTTCACATGTGTGTATGTGATTTTTACATATGTCTGTAAATGGTTTTGGTTTCAGTTGTGTGTGGGAGCAGGCTCAGATTGGCCATTGGGAGATTCGGGACTTTTCCCGGTGGGCCGCTGCCGTTAGTGGGCTGCTGCCTTCGGTGGGCTGCTGGCTCTGGCATAGGTGGGCCGTGTACTTTCACAGTGCAAAAGATTAATTCAAAAGATCTCCCGTTCATCGCGTCTATTCACGACCCACCTATCACATATCACAGCGCCCCACACTTTGAGAAACGCTGCACTAAATAGAGCACATAGTTTGTACTAGTTTTCATCAAGGATAAAGCGGGTCTTTACCTCTAACGAACCAAGTAATGAGAGCTGTGTAAATGTAGGTTTATAGTAAACAGATTTAGATACCTGGGTAGTGATGTGACTTTGCCCCACTTCTCAATACAAAAGCGTCGGAGGCCGTTGGATCCCCGCAGCGCAGCAAAGCCTTCGTAAGGCACACTGGACGTCCCAGTGACAAACTGCAGCAGGCGGAGACGCTGCTCATTGTTGAACCGCTCCACAGCAGCCCAGAACCACCGCATCACTATGTGACCATCATGGTAACCTAGAGATTAGAACAATTAATATGTGACACACACACACACACACACACACACACACACACACACACACACACACACACACACACACACACACACACACACACACACACACACACACACACACACACACACACACACACACACACACACACACACACACACACACACACACACACACACACACACACACACACACACACACACACACACACACACACACACACACACACACACACACACACACACACACACACACACACACACCTCCTCTGTACTCTGTGTTGCCCCTCCAGTCACTGAGGTCAATCTCGACTGTACCAGCAATAACCAGTTCCAGCTCCCGCGCATCAAACACAGACACTAGCCTTGAGTCTACCACCTAGGATGGAGAAGAAAAAAAAAGATTTTTTTTTTTAGTTGCCTTCGTTTATCAGGTGTTCCAATATATGGCCATTTTGATCAATATTTTGAGATTTTGACATAGTAATACCATGTTGGACCATGTATTACGACTGAAACATCACATATAACAGTGATATTTACAGTTGTCTATTTGACCTAATTAGCGTATTTATAAATTAGAAAAAAAGGGATTCACAACTAGTTTGAACCTTCTAATAATGTTGTCAAAAACTTTATTTTGTTATGAATCATCTAAGATCTGATAATGTATTTTTTACCTCGTAGAAGCCTCTGACCAGTGCCTCTGTCTGCTGCACCACTCCTCTCTCCACCCTCCACTTGGCCATTCGCTCTATATAATCTTTTTTGTTCTTCTCAGTCACCTGGAGGTTTGAGCCGCCTGACTTTAGCTCCCGCTCCGTCACCTGGCAACACAAGATATGCTGGGCATAGTTAACAGTGGAAGTCATCCGAGCAGTATACTGAACGTTTGCCATTACACATGTGCATGAGGTATAGATGTACATTTGTATCTGGTGCTGTAATATACCTTGACAAACATAACCACACACACACACACACACACTTACCTGGCCAAAGACCTCCTCATTGACGGTGAAGGTGAGGTCCAGGATGTCAGTGATGTCGTTTTCCTTCATCCACTGCAGAGACTGGTGGAACTCCTCATCCAGATACTCCAGATCGGACAGGTCTGTCGGCCTGAATGACAGACAGGGCTTACACGTACAACCCACAAAACGACATCTAATCTTAACTATGCCTCTTCATCTTAATAATATTTAACTCTAATGGTTTAGCCAAATGGAAGGAGTAGCTGATTCATGAATATTATCCCCAACAGCAAAAAACTATGACACATTTTAAATAAAGATAAAGATATCCTGAATGTTCCAAACCTAGTCTAATGTGTAATTTATAACTGCTTTAAGTTATAGCTTTCAGTTTAAATAGGTAATTTTCCTAAAATCCTGAAAGTTAATGTTGTAAAATGCAAACTGTATACTTAGTTTTCTAAACAGCCCAATCTAGAACTCCAGCTTGTCGTTTTTAGCACATGTAGTAGAACAGATCAGTGATTGGATGTTTCTTCCGTATATCCGCTTCAGGACATTTTTCATGACTTTTCAACGTATGTCTATAGACTTGTATTCTTTCCTTTTTTTTTTTAATCAAAGAAACAGGTATTTACTTATAGATTTTCAACATTTGTCACAGTTTTACTGTTCAAATTGTAGAGTTTCATGCCAATGTAAGTCTTCAAGTGATAGTCGTCATTATTGTGTATGCAGAAAATAAACATTCTTGATCTTCCGGAATCAAAGATTTCATAAAAATATATTCTCCCACTTCACAAAACTATACTAAGATAGTCTCTAAAGAAAAAATATATATTGTTTGTATACTGACAGTCTGAGCAGGGCCTTATAGAAGGGTCTGGTGAAGAAAGCATCCAGTAGGTACTGATGAATTAGAGCCAGGCCAAGGATACGACCACTGAAACGAAACCTGGACACAGGCACGAAGCAGGCACACACATACAGACACAGCAAACATTACAATCAGTAAAATGAAAGAGTAAAATGTTTCTGACCTCATACCAAATACAGCATCATACTATAAAGACGGAGTTAAGGAATATGTCATAGTTAAATAGCCCTGTTCTAGGTGAAACCTGCACTAGTTCTCCAAATGCACTTACTTTCTTTGGAATGTCAATCTTTATAACAAAGTCATGCTGCTCATAAAACAAGGGGTTACGTATGGTAACCCTTGTTATATAAACACAGGCGGAGCCCTCTACTGGACTCTATCGGTACTCCCCTTGATCCTAACATGCAAGCATTCATCCACTGAGACTTTCTAGACGTAGCCGGCACCTGGGCGGTTCTACCTGAATGTGCGCGTATCTCACCGCATAAAAGGAGTTCTCGCCTCCTTACTGTCATCCTTTACTTCTCTTCAGCAAGCAGCATAGGACAGACAGGGCCCCTGAGTAGAGGGCTCCGCCTGTGTTTATATGACAAGGGTTACCATACGTAACCCCTCGTTATACCTCTCAGAGGCCCTCTACTGGACTCTATGGGTACAGTGGGCAATGCAAGGCAAGGCAAGTTTATTTATATAGTACCTTTCAACACAAGGCAATTCAAAGTGCTTTACAAAAAACGAAAGACATTAAGAAAATGGCATTTAAAATCAGTCATTAAAAAGAAAAGATAATAAAATAAACATTAAAAGAAAAAATACATGGATAAAAGTTACAGTGCAGTTTAAGATGTGAATAGTTCAATTAAAAGCAGCGGCAAAAATAAAAGTCTTTAGTCTGGATTTAAAAGTAGTCAGAGTTGCAGCGGACCTGCAGTTTTCAGGGAGTTTGTTCCAGATATTTGGAGCATAATAACTGAACGCTGCTTTACCATGTTTAGTTCTGACTCTGGGGACAGAAAGCTGACCAGTCCCTGAAGACCTGAGAGATCTGGATGGTTCATAATTTAGCAGTAGGTCAGAAATGTATTTTTGGCCTAAACCATTCAAAGCTTTATAAACCAGCAGCAGTATTTTTTAAATCTATTCTTTGACACACAGGAAGCCAGTGTAAAGACTTCAGAACAGGAGTGATGTGATCCACTTTCTTAGTGTTTGTGAGGACTCAAGCAGCAGCGTTCTGAATTAGCTGCAGCTTTCTAATAGATATTTTAGTGAGACCTGTGAAGACACCATTGCAGTAGTCCAGTCTAATGAAGATAAAAGCATGGACAAGTTTTTCCAAATCCTGCTGTGACATTAGTCTTTTAATCCTAGATATATTCTTTAGGTGATAGTAGGCTGATTTAGTAACTGTTTTAATGTGACTGTTGAAACTCAGGTCAGAGTCCATGACTACACCTACATTTCTGGCTCTATCTGTTGTTTTGAACATTGCAGACTGAAGCTCAGCGCTAACTTTTATACGTTCTGCCTTGGCTCCAAAAACCATTACCTCAGCTTTATCTTTGTTTAATTGGAGAAAGTTCTGACACATCCAGTCATTGATTTGTTCAATGCACTTACTCAGTGTTTGAATTGGAGCATAGTCTCCTGGTGAAATTGTTACGTAAATGTGTGTGTCATCCGCATAGCTATGGTAACTTATTTTGTTGTTTTTCATTATCTGAGCCAGTGGTAGCATGTAGATGTTAAAGAGAAGAGGCCCTAAGATGGAGCCTTGAGGTGCCCCACATGTCATATTTGTCAACTCAGATGTGTATTTACCTATAGAAACAAAGTTGTTTCTGTCCTTTAAGTAGGATTCAAACCAATTTAGAACTGTTTCGAAAGTCCCACCCAGTTTTCTAGTCGGTCGAGTAATATGTTGTGGTCAACAGTGTCAAACGCAGCACTGAGATCTAATAATACTAACACTGAAGTTCTGCCACTGTCTGTGTTTAAGTGAATGTCATTGAAGACCTTTACAAGAGCAGTCTCAGTGTTGTGGTTTGGACGAAAGCCTGACTGGAACACATCAAAACAACCATTTAAATGCAAGAAATTACTCAACTGTTGAAAAACAACTTTTTCAATGATTTTACCTAGAAATGGCAGGTTTGATATGGGCCTGTAATTGTTCATTACTGAAGCTTCTAGATTATTCTTTTTTAAGAGCGGTTTAATGACTTCAGTTTTCAGGGCCTGTGGAAAAATACCTGAGTGAAGAGATTTGTTTACTATATGAAGTAGATCTGAGGCCATGCAACGAAAAACATCTTTGAAAGATCCTGTTGGAATAATATCAAGGCAGCAGGAGGAGGATTTCAGAAGTTGAATAATGTCCTCTAGGTTTTTATCATTAATCTGATGGAATTGTGTCATGGTGTTTGAATTGATATTAGGTGGACATAGGGACAACACATTTGCTGTACCTGATGCAGAGGCACTGACTGCTTGTCTGATTTTCTGAATGTTGTCAGTGAAAAAGGAGGCAAAATCATTGCATGCCCTGGTGGATAGAAATTCAGAGGCTACTGACACTGGGGGGTTAGTTAGTCTGTCGACGGTAGCAAACAAGGCACGTGCGTTGTTTTTGGTAATGATGTCAGAGAAGAAAGACTGTCGTGCGTTTTTCAATTCCAAATTATAAAGGCCAAGTCTCTCTTTATAGATTTCAAAGTGAACCTGGAGATTTGTTTTTCGCCACCTACGTTCAGCTTTTCCACACTCTCTTTTTTTCTGCTCTCACGGTCATGGCCTTTCTCCATGGAGATATTTTCTTCCCGTCACTTCCTTTACTTTAGTTGGAGCAATGGCATCTATAACATTTTTAATTTTTGAATTAAAATGATCTACTAGCTCATTTACTGAGATGTTAGCAGGGGCAAGTGTGGAAGAAAAATTCTGAGTAAACATTTCCCTAGTATTTTCAGTTAAATATCGCTTTGTGAGTCCTCTTTTTGAACATTTTTGTGAACAGAAATAGAGCTCTCAAAGAACACACAGGAATGATCAGAGAGTGCAACATCAGTCACCACAACCTTAGAGATATTCAGACCCTTTGAGATGATTAAGTCCAGAGTGTGCCCCTTATTGTGCGTGGGCTCCGTCACATGCTGAGTCAGTCCATAGTTATCAAGAACACAAAACAGTTCTTTAGCCCCTCTGTCCTGGGGGTTGTCAACATGGATGTTAAAATCCCCAACAATGACTTGACGATCAAAGTCAATACACACTATAGACAGCAGTTCAGTAAAGTCATCAAAAAAGCTTGCACAGTATTTGGGTGGTCTATAGATATTTAGGAACAGAGCTCGAGAGGAGCATTTCAGCTGAAGGGCCACATATTCAAAAGAAGCAAAGTTCCCATAAGATGTCTTCCTGCATTGAATGGAATCATTGAACAAAATAGCAACTCCACCTCCTCTCTTATGCATTCTTTTCTGACTCATAAAACTAAAGTTGGGAGGGGTTGATTCGATAAGAACAGCTGCACTGTTATTTTGTTCAATCCAAGTTTCCGTTAAAAACATAAAATCAAGATTGTGCTCAGTGATAAAATCATTGATTAAAAATGTTTTCCTGCCAGAGACCTGACATTTAATAAAGCTAGTTTAAGTTTGTTAGATACACTATCAGTAAGATGTTTTGTGACAAGCTGTGGCTGACATGGAATCACTGCTAAATTTGATAAACTCACACGAACGTTTGAGCACTTCCTGTTTCTAATCTGATTCACCGCTCTTAATCTATTACCTATCAACACAGATATCGGCAAAGCTACTGGCAGGCAGGGCCCCGGCATGTCCTGGAAAGAGTTGAGAGTGCCATACGCCCTTGAGCCTGGACCCAGCACATATCAGTAAGAGTTTGTTGCGTTTTGTACACACACATCCTTATCAGGCTTCGGAGACTGCAGATGCTTTCTTGAAGGGAGGGGAGGTGGTTGACGTAGGCACGGTGATGAAGGGGGAGATGGTGCGCGTCTCTGCAGTGATTTTGGTGGGCGTCGTTGAGGAGCGGGGGTAAAGGACATGCTGCCAACCCTGCGTATCGCCTTAGTTTGGTCTTTGAACTCCAGGAAGGAATCGGTGCCAACCCTCTGTATCTCCTTTGTGTGTTCAGCGATCTCCAGGAGGGTGGGCGAGGGTGAAAGGGTGAACGGAGAGTAGAGAGAGCTGTGGGGTGAAGGAAGAGTATCCTCAGAGGTGATAGGGGGGGTGAAGGGCGGTGGAGACTCCTCCATTTGTCTCCCATAATCAAGACATTCCTCAGGTGGGTGTAGTGATAGATTTTCAAGGTTTTCTGAGCGATGTGTTGTGTCTTTATCTTGTTTTGATTCATCTTGTTGCTTGTCCTTGGCAAAGGGAACAGATTGATGACGTAGGCAGTTGAATACGTTAGAGATAAACAATTTCACTCCTGATTTGTTCAGACAAACTCCATTTGCCTTAAAAAGATATCTGCGGTCCCAGAAAAAGTTAAAGTTGTCAATACAATTGACAGAATGGTCAATACAGACAGTTGAAAGCCAGGTGTTCAGTGCAAACAATCTGCTGAATCTCTCCACTCCTATTCTGACTGGCGGTAGAGGGCCACTGATGAACACCTCTGCATTTAGAGAGCTGACAGTTTCCAACAGACATTTAAAGTATTTTTTCAGCACTTCTGACTGTTGTTTCACAACATCATTTGTTCCAATGTGCAGTACCACATTCTTCACAGTCGGATGTTCAGCCCCAATATGTAGGATCTTCTCAGCCAAGTCAGAGACCATATCCTTGGGAAAACAGAGTACTTTGGTGTTGTTCTTACTACACAGACTTTTTACATCTCTTACAGCAGAGTCACCCACAATCAGAGTTTCAGGCCCAGTCGTTAGCTTTCCCTCTAGCCTTTTACTTTTGGAGTAGCTATTGGTCCTTACCCTGCTATGTGAAGAGGACGGGTTATCCAGGTCATCAGAAAGAGATCTCCGGTTCTCGGTCAGCGGAGCGTATCTGTTCTGGATTGGCACACTCTGTGGTTTAGGAGGATTTTTTGTAGTTCTCCCTTTAGCAGCTGTCCACGGCTGTTTCCTAGTAGGAACAGGGGTTGAAGAGGCGCTCTTCCTGGGTGATAACAATGCAGGCCAGCCGGTCGCATCACAGATTTCAGAGCGCTGGGCTCTGCCTGTTGTTCGTCCTCCCAAATCCCATGGAAATGATTTACTCTTCGGCCTTGCACCCAGAGAATTCGAGGGAGGACTACCACTTGTAGATTTATTACCCGGTACACAGCCCTCCTGTTCCTTGGAATCCTTGTAGCTGCTAACTAGCTTTGAGTTACCATGCCTTTGTCCATTATTTTTGCAACACTGGTAAAGTGGTGTCATTCCAACCTAGTCCATTCACTTCCACGTTAACTTCCAACCGTTGCATTTTCATTTCCAACACGGCCATCTTCTGTAGAAGTTTGTGGAAGTCATCTGTAGAGAACGGAGGCATTTTGCTGCTATCTAGCTTAAGCTAAATAGCATGCAGTACCAGGCTTTAGCTGTTGCTAGGCCACGCTACTGTAAGACTGAGGTCGTCGTAAAAATATTGAAATATGGCTGAAACCCTCCGTCTATTTATGAAGAATAACTGTCCCAGTGATAGGTTAATGTCCAGGAGCCGCTGCTCGAAGTTTTCAGAAAAGAAAAATAGAAAAAGAGCATAAAAATGTAAGCAGAAGCAAGAGCAAGCAGAAAAGCATCTGCACTGTAAGAAGGGAAGGTCACGATGTATACACGCGCTGTCATCCCACAATAACACTGTTCCCTCTCACTTTTTCTGACCGGCTTTCTGGTTAGCAGCCGCTGCATCTCACTCACCTCTCCCTCAGTCGTAACCGTGGAGAGAAAGAGGCTGCGGCTGACAGAGCACACCCTGACGCGCTATGCTATGACGTGGAGGACTCCCCCCTCCTGCCCTAAAGCAGGGGAAAAAGAGTCCTCCAGCCCCTATGGGCCCATGTGCGCGTCATGTGGGGGAAGAACGTAAGCGCATTACATCCGGCGAGGGGGTCAGATGCCCACTGACCCACAGCCCCCCTCCCTCCTCACCAGTCCTGCGTTGCCCCAGCAAGCACAGACGATGAAAAGGAGCCAGACATGTCCAAGAGATAAAATGTTATACTCACAAATACAAAGCCGTGGCAGCACATCACTCCCACCCTCATCCACCTCCACTGGTTGCCAGTCAAGTTCCGCATATCATTCAAAATCCTCCTCCTTACCTACAAGTCCCTCCATGCCCATGCCCCCCAGTACCTATCGGACATCCTTCACCCACATGCCCCTCCCCAGAACCTGCGGTCTTCAGACTCTGGCCTGCTTACCACCCCCCGCACCAAACTGCAAAACTTCGGGGACAGAGCCTTCAGTGTGGCGGCCCCCACCCTCTGGAACGCAACATCCGCAACATCCCCACGCTTGACGCCTTCAAAAGGGCCCTCAAGACACAAGTTCACTAAGGCCTTTGGCCCCTAATCTATTGTTGTTTTGTCTGTCTGACTGGTTGTCTGACTGCCTTTTGTTTTGCCCTGTTCTTCCTTGTAAAGCGACCTTGGGTCTCATGAAAGGCGCTATATAAATCCAAGCTATTATTATTTATTATTATTATTTATGAAGGGGCCTGGCGTTGACCAAGATGCCACCGTGCATATGTCCTCCACACTCACGCCGTTAAATAAGGCTGTTGACACAGCCATGGCTCGTGTAGAGTGTGCACGGACCCCCGTAGGGGAAGGCTCTCCCCGCCTGTCCGTAGGCACGTGCAATGCACTCGCAGAGCCAGCCTGCCAGGCGTTTCTTGGACAGAGCTTTTCCCGTTACCCCACCCCCGAAGCACACAAACAGCTGTTCCGTGTGTCTAAGGGCAGCCGTGCGCTCCACATAATGTGCCAGCGCACGCACCGGGCAGAGGAGGTGTAATTTAGCCTCCCTCGCCCCACTATGGGGGGGAAGATTAAAACCCCCCAACTGAATAGCCCTCGACCTGAACGCACTCCCCTGAGTTACCCAGCTGCTGCCTTCGTCCTCGTGCCCAGCCCCCTGAGTTAACCCGTCAAGGTCTTCGCCCCTGTCTTCAGCCCCCTGAGTTTCCCCGCCGCCCTTTTGCCTTGCCCCCGGGCCGTCCGCCCGAGTCCCCCTTCTCGGCCTCTGCTTTTCCCCCGGGCCGGCCGCCAGAGACCCCCTTCTCGGCTTCTGCTTTGCCCCCGGGCTGTCCGCCTTCAGCTAGCTTGAGATACGAACTTGCTTACTAGGCACTGGCCACCAGCCCTTACCACTGAGCTATCCAGGGGCCCACTTGAGGGCTTTTTAACCTATTAAGCCCCCCGCCCCACAACAATATTCACGAAACTGTGTCTCAGGGCTTCTTAACATTTAACCACCTATTAATGTGTCTTACCCACTTAATGGGAAGAAACTCAGCTATCAGACATTATTAATCATTTTTAGCTAAACAAAACACAAGGGTAACACCAAGCCTCTGAATTAGCACTTATATCCAGAGATATGGCAAATACACCCAAATGACCCCAGATGTAGGTTTTTTTTTCTAAACCTCTCTAAAAATGTCAAATTCACTCTTGATACAGGGTACTTATTATATGTTAAGGTTTTTGTCTACTATCCCATCATTCAAGGGTGGTTTTCACTATAAGTAATGGTTTTTCTTGGACGGAAACTATCATTTACATTTTTTTACTATGTTCAATCTGAATTTACTTTAAAATAAAAACATCTATATTGATTCTGACTTTTCTACATCCAACTCACAGGTGTATCATTGCTTTGAGAACAAAGATGATTAATTTACCCCTTTTAGAAGTGAAGATAAGTCATTTGTTCTGGGAATGTCATTTTCGAGCCTGAGACCTGAAAAACAGGCTCAGGGTAAATTAATAATCTTTTTTCTCAAATCAATGATAAACCTGTGAGTTGGATGTAGTTTTCTACATCCAACTCACAGGTTTATCATCAATATAGATTTTTTTTATTTTAAAGTAAATTCAGATTGAACAAAATGTAAATTATAGTGTCAATATTGAAAATGCTATTCATTTAGATTAGTAAATCATATGGCATTTTCCCCCATGTCGAGACCTCCAGTGTTCGACGGTGTAAAAATGTTCTTTCCCACGTTGAGCCCCTGATACAATTAGAATGGCTATCTGAGACATCCTATGCACAGCAGCACATTTGAATTGCCTTGTGTTGAAAAGTGCTATATAAATAAACTTGCCTTGCCTTGCTTTAACAACTTTGATACAACTGGTTCAAACCTAGCTGATGGTTCTACTGCCTCATAATGCAGTTTCAATCCAATTGCTAGAGATGGGACTGAGACAGCCACAAGGATGCAGAAAGGCTAGGAGAATACCAAGGCTGCGCCTGTAGTTCTTGCTTGACTACTTCCTAACAGATACTCACAGGCAACAAGTTCCCTAACCTGAATGTTCGAAAGTCCTTACAAAGAATGCAGACCACCTGTGCAAGGCTGGGTTGAATTGAAGGAACAGGAGGAGCACCTGCATTGATGCACCTCCATATTAATCTCAAACAGAGAGAAGGGCAATTCATTCCTGCTGGCTTGCCATTTCTAACACTGTTTTTTTTACAGTGAGATAGCGGTGGTGGGAACTGTCAGTAGTTGGGAAGTGCTTAAACCTCCATCCTTGTTGCTACTAGCCCCATGGCAATACAGGTAAGTGCGATACTTCACCCAGAAGACACATTAACCTTTTTTTCTGCTTTTCACTATTTAATAATGTGGCATGATGATCACTTTCCGACTAAGCCTGCCTGTATGTGTCCTGCCACACATTTTTTACTAATTGTATTTGTGGGACAAAGAAAAAAGACGTCTGAATGCGCTGCGCCCCGCCAACAGAGCCCCGCGCCCCGCCAACGGAGCCCCCCCTGAAATGCAAGGTGTCTAAAAACAAAAAAAATAATAATTTTTTTTTTTTAATAATTAAAAAAATAAATATATATATATAGCATTAAATTGCAACTAATCTATATCTACTGTCACTTTTCACATTGAACATGTGCTCTTTTATTAAACTAAACTAACTTTAATTTTAAGTTGTGAGTTTAGTGTTTTTGACCCTAAGAAACACTGATGCATTAATCAATAACAATAATCCACAGCTCCTCTCTCTGCTCCTGAGGATTTTAAAAAGATACATCCCAACCCCCCCACTCAATCAGCACCCCCCCCCCAAAGCAGTAAACCTAGGGGAAACACTGCTATATTATACTATAACACTGCACTTTGCATTTTGTTCACTATCTTTCAAGATCACAGTGTCAGTGCCCTGACTCAGGTGGTGGTCAAATAATCACTGACAGGGCTTGTTCCTTTCTATAACCATAAAATCAGTTGAAATAAATCAAGAGGCTTTGGGGCAGTATGGGAGGTACCAAGGCTTTGTTGAACCCTAGGCTAAATGTTTACCTTTCTTTTTCTCTATTCATTTGTATTTGTTTTAAAAGGGTAATAAAGTAATGTGCAAGATACGTATTCACTGTACAAATGTAATATGAAACGGACCAGGGAGCTGGTCACAATACAACAATCTTTACAATAAAAAAAAATGTTATGGACTTATTGAATAGCCAAAAAAAGTGTGATCTCACAGATAGTCATTTTCAGGGAAAAACTTGAATCAACCAGTAGTGTAAACGTTATTTCTTAAATAGAGTGCAAACAGCTATAAAGAAAAGTGAAATTGTACAATTACTGTATAGCAAAAAAAACTGTACCAACTGACAAATTAGAGTTGAGTTAAAGTATATTTAACAAAACACTGATTCACCCCGTGTCTCTGTATGTTTGTTTGTTTGTTTGTTCCTATTGCACAGCTTACCATTCCAGATGGTTTTCAACAAATGCTGACATGGGGCTGATTTGAACGGTGTAAGTATCGTTAGCTGAGTATTCAAACAGACCGTAGTATGGATTAAACAACTCCTGAGACAATAGGAAGAAAAACTCTCTGGACGGACCACTGTAGTCCAATCTGAAAAGAGAACAAGAGACAAAACACATCTTTACATACTTGACTGTTAATATGATAGACATTTTTTTTTATTTCCCCTGTAACATATATTTAATAAAAATATGGTTCAATTATCGTCATCAAAGAAAAAAGACAAAATAAACTGATTATACAAAGTTTAAAGATTTGAGATATATTTTCCAATATTCACTTTGGCCATTCATTTGCAAAGTTCTCCAACATGTTCACTAGGTAGATTATAACCTTGTGTACTGTTGAGTGCTGGGCTTCCAGTGTAAAGTGAGTTTACTTGAAAAAAAAATGGCCAGCTGCTTCTGGAAATGAGGTTGAGTGGAATTGTCTGCTGTTTTGGCAATAAAACCAAAAGAATAAACCTTTGTGAGAAAAACAATTATGGGGTCCAGTGTTAATATATACAATTTTAAACAGTACTAAAAATCAACATGTTGGCAATATAAATCAAAAAGCTCTGTGCTTCAAAAGCTTAAAAGAACAGCACATTCAGCTGTGTTATTTCATTGGTCAATTATGTGTTGTTTGTGTTGCTCACCCCTCCTCTCCGAGGAAAGTAACGTAGAGTTTGTTTCTCTGCAGCTCTTTGCGGGAGTATGCCATCACCTGGTTAAAGGTTCCTTCCAGCAAGAGTTCTCTCCTGATCAGCAACCTACAACAAGCAGGAAAGTTTACAGATAACTGGTACTTTTACATTTGAAAATCTGAATTTGGAGTTTTTCTTTTGCTTCTTATTTACTTAACTGTTCAGTTTCTGTACATCTTATTTCCCTAATTGTAGGTCTACAATTAGTTTCAAACTGTCTTATATGTAGGAATATAATTCTGGTGGTGCTATTGGTGGCGAATTAGTTAATTGGTTAATTATTATATTAAAATGTAAATGTATTTATCAATGTATTCCTGAAACAGTGGTAGCTGTTTAAATATCCTTAAATATGTAGTTAGACTTTATATTAAATATCATAGTTAGGATGATTCAGATCAATTGACATATATGTGGGACCCTACTATAACAATCTCGTGTGAGCTGTGTCTGAACTGTAACTGTGACAATCTTATTGCATAATATAATATAACGGCTTTGGACCTTTCACTTTATTTTAAGGTGCATTTAATTTATTCATAATGTGAAATTTGAGTCTTACTTGATTTTGCTTGGTCCCTGCCCGTAGCCCTTGGCCTCTAATTTCCTGTAAAAGTTTCTTAGTTTGGCCTCAAAGTCTCTGCGGTAAGGAGCTGGAGCCCTGGCCCTCTGCAGGCCTATAAACACACATAAACTGGGGTTAATATAAAACACTGGAAAAAATGTTTTGTAAACAATGTGAAGTTCTAAGACTGAAATTGAGAGTTAGAGAGGTTCACAGTGCCTTTACAAAATGTGTCAGAAGCTTAATGAGCTATATTTTGTAGCTAGTCAACAAAGTGACCTATGGGAGATATTTTTACGGTGAGAATGACTGATGTGGAACTACTGAATTGATACATCGATACATTTGTATCATTCAGCAACAAAAATGTAACTTGTGCTAAAATATTCACTCTTCTAATCTAAAAAAATCAATGCAGGGTAACACACTGGTTGTGAAAATACGAACAATAATAATGAGTTGATCCCACTCATCACACACACACACACACACACACACACACACACACACACACACACACACACACACACACACACACACACACACACACACACACACACACACACACACACACACACACACACACACACACACACACACACACACACACACACACACACACACACACACACACACACACACCACACACACACACACACACACACACACACACACACACACACACACACACACACACACATTAGATTGAACAGTTGATGGGGAAAATACTGAGTTGATTCTGAGCAGAGTTTGTCTACCATATGTTATTTTAACTTTTCGTGAATAACAGGATGTTCTTAACACTGTGAATTGAAAACTCTGCAGCCTTGACCATCTAGTTGCTCTTTCGGAAGAGGAAGCGGGCGGGGGGGGAAGAAAGTTGAATCCACAACAAAATTATTAAATTGCATCCTGCAGCACTGTAGCAATAATCCTAATCCTATTTGTTTTACAGTGTGTTATGTATATGTCTCCAGACATACAGAAACATTTCATAGTTTACATTACTGTCTGCAGCTGTTTGTTTGTAAATACATTTGGATGGGACACTGAAATGTAATGCTTTTTAAGACTAGTGCAATCCCATTTTAATTATTCAAAATGTATAACAATCATTCAAAACAAATATCAAATCTGTTATGATCTGTCCAAATCCAATACATTGTAATAGTAAGCACAATATGTCAAGTCCTATAATAATAGATTTATTTTGTTAGCGCTTTTACAGGTGCTCAAAGACGCTTTACAGATATAGTGAAAATAAAATAAAAGAACAACAAATAAATATATATTTAAAGTTAAAGTCAAATAATACAAAAACAATCACACATTAAAAGCCAGATTGAAGAGGTGAGTTTTGGTGAGTTTTTTGAAGGTGGTGAGGTCGGTGCAGTCTCTGATGGGTTGAGGGAGTGAGTTCCAGAGGGTGGGGGCAGCAACGGAGAAGGCTCTGTCCCCCCAGGTCCGGTGCTTGATGCCTGTGGGGATGGATAGGATGTTGGCTTCTGATGAGCGGAGGCAGCGGGAAGGGGTGTGGTGGTGCAGCAGGTCTGTGAGGTAGGGGGGGGGCCTGATTGTTGAGGGCTTTGTAAGTAATAAGGAGGATTTTAAAGTTGATTATTTGACGGACGGGGAGCCAGTGGAGCATCTGGAGGACGGGAGTGATGTGGTCCCGGGAGCGGGTGTGGGTGAGGAGGCGGGCAGCAGAGTTCTGGATATGTTGGAGTTTATTGAGGAGGTTGGATGGTATGCCGTAGAGCAGGGGTGCCCAACCAGTCGATCGCGATCGACCGGTCCCAGTCGATCGCGAGATGTGTCTAAAAATAGAACAACAATATTCTGTTTTATCGTTAATCTCCTATAACATAATCTTCCTGTGCCAGAATAATGCACTTGAACGCACCAAAGCTTTGTGATTGGCCGGCGTGACCCCATGTGTGGGGGCGTGGCTGGTGGGCAGTGGGCACTATTTCGCTGACGTTGTCCGTGTCAACAGGAGTGACAGTCCGCACACACACAAGACCGCAATTATGGCAGAAGCAAAAAAGCCCAAAATATATAATTTTCACTCCGAGTGGGAGGATGATTATTTTTGTATCTATTCCAATTCAAAGTCCATCTGTCTCATCTGCAATGCGAGCGTGGCTTTATCGAAGAAGGGTAATTTAGGAGCGGCATTTCAAAACAGTGCACAAACGCTACGAGACGGAATTCCCTCCTAACTCTGCCCTACGCTCCCAAAAGGGAAGGGGCCTGAAAGGACAGCTAAATGCACAGCAGTCCATTTTCACCAGGTCCAACAACAAGAGCAAGGCTGCTACCAGAGCATCTTATCGTGTCAGTCACATTCTTGCGAAACACATGAAGTTTTTCAAAGATGGCGAAGTTGTGAAAGAAGCATTCCTGGAGGCTACCGACGCGCTTTTTGGGGACAGTAAAAATAACAGAAGCATTTCAACAGGTTTTTGATATAATAAAAACTCAAGTTAGATAACGTTATTAATCAGCTGTAAGTTTTTGTTTGTTTGAACTTATTCATTATAATTATTGTACAAAATGGTATAATAATGCACATTTAAATTGATTATAGTCTATCATCAATTCAGGTTAAGAAACTAGTGTTACTTGCATCCTATTTTTTTAAAGGCATTTATTTTTATACTCTACTAAAATGCAACAAAAAAAGGGTTTGATTCTATTAATTTTGTATTGCACTTTGGCAGCATATTCCTGTGTTGTTTTATTAGTAAGCCTAATTTATACTTTTGTAGCAAAACTATTGTTATATAATGGCAAAGAAAGGGTTCAGAGTCTTTTCTTTTATCCTTGTGTCATATGTGGCAGCACTGTTCAATGTTTCTTGAAAACATGTCGTAGTATGTGACGTGTGAATAAACTCCAACTCTGTATCAACAACACTGTTGTGTAACTTCAGTTAAATACTTGTATGTGTGTAGATTAGAAAGAGGTAAGATAAAGAATCTGCAGTATTTTATGGAGTATTAATTGTACAAAGGTCAGTTTTATACAAGTGGAAGTGTGTATTTACCTGGTAGTAGGCTACGCCTCTCTATTTGGACTGGTAGATCTCGGCAGACTGGCAACTTTAAAAGTAGCTCTCCGTTCAAAAAGGGTTGGGCACCCCTGCCGTAGAGGATGCTATTGCAGTAGTCGAGTCGTGATGTGATGAATGCATGAATCAGGGTTTCAGCAGTAGAGGAGGAGAGTGATGGGCGGAGACGGGCAATGTTTTTGAGGTGGAAAAAGGCGGACCTGGTGATGTGATTGATGTGGTGGTTGAATTTGAGCTGACAGTCGAAGATGACTCCAAGGTTGCGGATGTGAGGGGGGAGATAGAGTGTGGCTGTCAATGGTGAAGTTGAAATTCTGGGTGGCTTTGGTACGGGATGGGGGGCCGATGATGATGATGTCTGATTTGGCACCGTTCAGTTGGAGATAGTTTGCTTGCATCCATGCTTTTATTTCTGAGAGACAGTTGGTGAGAGTGGAGTGTGTTGTGGGGGTGATGGTTTTTGTTGAGATATAAAGTTAGATGTCATCGGCGTAGCAGTGAAATTGAAGGTTGTGGCGACTAATTATTTTGCCAAGGGGGAGCATGTAGAGGATGAAGAGGAGGGGGTCAAGCACCGAACCCTGGGGGACGCCTTGGGACAGAGGAGCAGTGGAGGAGGTGCAGTTGTTGATGTTGATAAACTGATGTCTGTCGGTGAGGTAGGATTTCAGCCAGGAGAGTGCAGTGTCGGTGATGTTGAGTGATGATTGGAGGAGGGACAGCAGGATGATGCGGTTGATGGTGTCGAATGCTGCGGTGAGGTCGAGGAGGATGAGGATGTTCAGGTTGCCGAAGTCAGAGGAGAGGAGGAGGTCGTTTGTGATTTTCAGAAGAGCTGTTTCAGTGCTGTGTTTTGATCGGAAACCGGATTGAAATGGCTCAAAGAGGTCATTGGAGCTGAGGTGGGATTTAAGTTGTGAGGCACGTTCAAGTATTTTTGACAGAAAGGGGAGATTTGAGATGGGCTAGAAGTTGGACATGATGTCAGGTGTGAGTCCAGGTCTTTTGAGAATGGGTGTGACAGCAGCCAGTTTGAGAGAGGGGGGAACTGATCCAGATCTGAGGGAGGAGTTAATGATGGTGGCGATGAGTTGGGAGATGGCAGGGAGGCTCTCTTTAACACATTTGGAGGGCATTGGGTCAAGTGTGCAGGTGGAGTTAATTCCAGTCATGAAGTCGGACAGTTGCATGGGGGTCACAGGGGAGAAGTGGGATAGGGGCTGTGAGGTGAAGGGGGGGAGCCAGGAGGGGAGGTGGGGGGTGCTGATGATGGTGTCAGATTGCTGTAAATGTTGCTGATTTTGGGTTGGAAAAACAAGAGGAAGGAGTTGCACTGTTCGGTGGTGAAGGATGAGGTGGCGTTGTCACAGGGTTTGAGAAGTTTGCTGATGGTGGAGAAGAGATGCTTGGGGTTGCTGGAGCCGGACTGAATGAGATGTGAGTAGTAATTAGACCGGGCTGCTTTGAGTGCGTTACTGTACTGCTGGAGATAGTCTTTGTAGATTTGAAGATGGACTGTTAGTGTGGTTTTCTTCTGTTGGCATTCAAGTTGACGTTTTCCTTGATTTCATTTGGCGGAGTTCGGGGGTATACCAGGGGAGGGAGTGTATGAAAGAGACATTTTTTGTTTTTGTGGGGGCCAGTTCATTGAGACAGAAGGAGAGGGTGCTGTTATAATAGTCCACATGTTCAGATGGGTTTTCAGAAAGTGGGGGGGAGACAGACATCTTGCAGGTAATGGAGGCAGTGATTGCTGAAGGTGAGATGGATTTAAGATTTCTGTAGGTTATTGTGCGTTTTTGCTTTTGGGTGTGGATGGGGATGTTGATGTCCATGATGATGGCCAGGTGATCAGAGATGTGGATATTGAGGCTGGACAGATGATGGATGGTGAGACCAGTGGAGTAGACCAAGTCCAGGATGTGACCACGGCTGTGTGTTGGAAAGTTGATGTGTTGAGAGAAGTTACAGCAGTGAAGGGTTTCCTTAAATTCAGAGGCATATTTGCAGGTCGGGTCGTCAACATCAATGTTAAAATCACCTAAGAGGAGAACAGATGGGGATATGGCAGAAAGCTGAGTGAGAATGTCAGAGAGGTCGGATAGAAAGGAGGGGTTTGGCTTCGGGGGACGGTAGATGATGGCTGTGACCAGGGGAGTGGGACCAGAGAGTTTGAAGATCACGTGTTCAAATGAAGAAACATCAGGGATGGGGATTATGGTAGCTTTTATTTCCTTTCTGATAATAGCAGCTATACCACCACCCCGCCCTTGTGGGCGAGGTTTGTCAATGTATGTGAATCCTGCTGGAGTGATTTCATTTAAAGAAAAATAGTCCAGGGTTTTTTGCCATGTTTCGGTCAGATACAGAAAGTCCAGGTTATTGTCTTTAATGAATTAATTCAGAATGTGGCTTTTATTGTGGATGGAGCGTGAGTTGAGCAGGGCTGCTCTGAGGTGACGTTGCATTGGGAGGGGTTGAGTGGACCGGGGGAGTGGAAGGAGATTGGTCAGATTCACGTGTTGTTTGTTGTGATGGCGTAGTGTGGGCGTGTGACAGGACTGAATGGACGGGATGGAGTGTGGAGACGTGGAATGAAATAAAAACTTACGGCCAGAGCCTCTGTGTGGAGGACGGCGTTTGCGGAGTATTTCATTATCTGCGAGGATGTCCATGCAGTCCAGAGGCAGGCGGTTATTAAAGGAGTGGAGATCTGACAGGGAGTAGAGCGGCGGCATGATCCGGTGAAGTGGCGCTAGCACGGAGCTAGCTAATGCTGGGCACCCGGACAGCAGAGACCAGGAGCCGGATGACCGTGGAAGAAGGAGCGGTGTGAGTCCAGGTAAAATCAGAAGGATAATCCACAGCATATCAGGAGAATAATTCCAGTGGTTTCCGGAGGAGAATCGTAGGAGGGGCTGACAACCTGGTGCAGAGTGGGAGCCGGGTGACCAGCCTACTAGCTTGTTAGCTAGCTTGATAGCCACCAGGCAGGGAGAGACGATGTCAGCGGGGAAGCCGGCTGATCGCAGCGGGATGGGAAGACCCACACGAGCCGCGGAGGTTGGGGTGGAGACATAAATGTTAGCTCAGCAGACTTCGGAGAGCCGAGGAGCATCTAGGTAGCAGCCTGCTAGGTCCGATAATGCTAGCTAGCTAGCGGGCTAGGGACCGGTGAGCAGGAAAGAGCCAGCAGGTAGGAGATGACAACACAAGATCTGTGTCGATTCGATAGAGAGATGCTGCTATTTTTGCTGATGACTGACGTTTAAAAAGTAGAGAGCCCGACAGGAGAGGTTCTGATCTGGACTAAAGAACAAGATTTGGGGCGGAGGAGCGGTGAACAAACAAAGCCAGCACCCTCGGCGACCCGGGAAAATGTTAGGGTGTTATGCCTATACCAGGCATGTCCAAAGTCTGATCCGATTTAATATGGCCTGCACTTTGGTCTTATTATGTATTATTTATGGCCCGCTAGCTTTGACGTACAGTGATCTGCGGTAAAACCCGGAACTGTTTTTCTTTCGTTGCCTTTGTTTTGTTTGTCTGTCTGGAGGTAGGGGTGGGAGGGACTGGTCTTAGGGGTTTTCTGTTTCTGTCTTATCATGTCATTGTGTTTTTTTTAATATAGCACCTGCATTTGTTTCTCCTGTTATTGTGTTATGTGTGGGAAAAACCAATAAATAAAAACGATGTCAGAAGGGACTATTGGTCCCGGGCATATTCACATTATCAAATCTGGCCCTCTTTGAAGAAAGTTTGGACACCCCTGCCCTATACTCTAGCGACTTCTCCTAAAATGTCAACCTGCCGTATTGCTATTGGCTATTAATGTTCTCTTTCTTAATGCAAAATGGAGTTAACTAGTTCGTCTTTTGTACCAAAAAGAGCCCTAGTCGTTGATAGCAGACATCAGCTTGTGTCAGTAATGATATTAAAGGTCCATAGTCCTGCCCCGCTATGATTGGACATGGTAGTTGTATCTCCCTGCCTATCTCAGCAAAACACATGATAGCGCCTTGATTTAGTATTAGCAGAGGCCTGTACTACGAAGCCGGATTTTCGCTTAGCAAGCTAACTTCAGGGAAAACTCTGGGTTTCCGGTCCCATTATCATTCATATCACATCATAATGTATCATATTGTTATGACATTAGGGTCATGATCGCTACCCCTTTAAGAGAGGGGTGTGGCGCGTGCATGTGAGAGTGGGTATGGTAGAGCGAGAGTGAGCGAACGGTATATATGTTTTCTGGAAATGAAATAAGGCAACAGGAAAAAGCATAGGTCTGTGATGTATCTTGTAAAACGGAAGAACTAAATAAATACAACGACCTCCCAAGACGAGCTCGCCTCTCTCCAGTGATTTGATAAAGTGGGTTATTGAATCCGAAGCGTGTAGCTTCTGCCCTGGGAGACGACAGAGAGTCATCCCCCCTGTTTCCTCGACCACGGTCTGGGAGCCGACAGGAAAGTTCAACAATATGTTTCCTTATCTGAGTTAGCTTCTTGAGCCGTATCTGGCCGTGCAACACTTACAGTGTCACATACTGTATGCAGAAGTATTATTTTAAGCAACACATTAAGTTGACGAAACTCAAATGTAATTAAAGTCAGATCCACTCGTGTCTTAGACGGGGCAGTGATATCATAAACCTGTTAATGTACGCATTCAAACACTTTTTGTGTACCTGCTGTACCTATGTTGCTTTTATCCTGGATAAAGTGTTTAAGTCATGGATATTTAAACTTCTTCATATTTGTCTAATATTATAGTTCACTTTTCATTCAGGAAGTAAGACGCTGCACTGTCAGTACGCTTGTCCATGTTTGTGATTGGTCAAATGTTGCTAACCCGCCCCTTTCATGTGAACGCGCACTCAGCCGGACAGAGAAACCCTGGCTTGAGTTAACGAGTTGATAACCAGCGTCGTAGGGCAGCTTAGCGAGAGCGTGTTTTTTTTGGATTAGGTAAACCGGGTAACTCAAACATATCCAGGTTATGTTGAACCGGCTTCGTAGTACAGGCCTCAGGTCTCTGCTGCCCTCTGTTGATAAACATAAGAATTGCATATTTTTTTCACTTTATTGTGATTTGATTTGTATAAGAAATACACTTAACAATGTAGAACATTCAAAATGAATTTGATTTTACCTTAAATAAGGAATTTTTATGTCAAAGCATGATCATATTATCAAGTTTCCATTCACATTTATACACAAAACCTGTAAAAAAAAAACGGTTATGTTGCTACGTTATGTAATATATTATAACATTATGTTAATCATCAATTCATGTTTTTTTATTTGATGATTTGATGACTTATTGACAAGAGGGACAATATTTAATAATTTAGTAACTGTGTGCTTGACACTTGTAGCTGCTATGTTTGAAGACCTACCAGGAGAGTTTTGTGGTGAGGAGGCAGGTGAACAGCGAGGAGAAATGCTGAAGCCGTGGAGGATGGGATGAGGCGGAACATAAGACATGATCTCCTCTTCAAATAAACTACAAGAAAAACACACAAAACAGACAGTATTTCCGAATTCAGTCATTTACTGTAAAATTCAATAAAATAGATGTTGTTACCAAACATGGATACTAGTTTCAGTGTGTGTATTACCTTAACAGGATGACTAGGTCTGCATCACATGACAATTTTTCCACCCCCTGAGTACCTTCTGTCCGAAGGTAGTGAATTTTCTCCCTGAACAGTCAAGCAAGACAAATAATTTATTATATATAGTATTTACATTAAGGCAGGTTCCTATCAATACTTATCACAGCTTGATATAATGTAGATTGAAAAAAAACCTCTTCTGTTATATCTCTCACAGGCTCCGCCCTCTACTGGACACTATGGGTACTACCTTATCATGCAAGCATTCACCTACTGAGATTTCTATAGATGTAGCCGGCCCCCGGGGCGGGCCTACCTGAATGCGTGCACAAGCCCAAGGCGGCCACACCTCCCGTTCCCGTCATCCTTTTCTCTTCAAGTGAGCAACAACTGAAGCAGAGAAAGTAAGACATTTGAAGAAGAAAGAGTTATCATACCTCCATGGAGTCGCCACTTCTAGAGACCCGGGCCTGTCCTTCATGCCCTGGCTTAAATGGCGGGTGCCGATCCCCACCACCCCTGCTTCGAGTGTTTGGGGGACCAGGATATGGCCTAGGCGGTGCCATTCACGTTCGCCATTCCAGCGGGGCGGATGGCTCCGTTTGCCGTTGTCGGGCACTTCCGGGTCTGGCGTCCATGGAAGTCCACCGCCCAGGGCTGTACTTCCCCCTAGGTGATGACCATGGCGGCAGAGCGGGTGTGTTGGGCATCTCGCTCATTGCTAGAGATGCCCCCACCTCACCAGATCAGAGCGATTATTTTGGCAAGGCCGTGGGGCTTTCAGGGACCTCCGCAGAAGAAACGGTGGGTTGCATATTGTAACTCTAGTTCTAGAGTGATGTGTGTGTGAAAAATGCCTTCAGTAAAAACGATTGCATTATCCCAGAGTAACGGTACATCCACACAGCTGCGTCAAAAAAATCTTGGAGGTGGGGCGTATCTGAAGCTTGGGGATTTTTTGCGACCAACAACCAATCACATGAATCTCCCGCCCCCGACATACAAAGCAATAGCAATGTTAAACGAAGTAAACTGGATATAAAATCCCCAAACAGGCGAAAACCTACCAGTTTCACCCACTGTCTCTGCCACCTCCCTCCATGCCTGGTTCCTCCGGTTTGTATCCCGGTAAATTAATAGGGACTGGTCATAAAGAACCGGGTGATTTGCTACCGCAATACCTAATTTCTCCTCCATTTTCAGGAATATAGAAAATAGTATGTCACGAAAATAGTATGTCACTCCCAGCTTGCACGCGGTTTGATTGGCTAGCGCTTTTACTGTCAGATTTGCATAAACGGGATTTGATTGGCTGACGCTTCCGCCTCAGCTTCAAAAGTTGAACATTGCTCAACTTTTGAATCCTGAAAATCTTGGAAATGAATGGGCAGAAGCGTTGGAAGATTTTTTAACGCTGCTGTGTGGACAATTCCACATCTCCCCATAATGTCCGTTTCAAAGTGCGTTCGAGGACCTCAGTAGAGAATCGGCCCTTTTTTGTGCCAGCCCCCCATGAGCCAATCTTCCTGTTATGGCTGATTGCACATCCCCTAACGCAGTGTTATGGGGAATGGAAGCGCAGCCGTGTATTAACGGAGTAGATGGACAGGGCGCTGAGACTGGGTTATTCACTCCAGTTTTGCAGCATCCCTCCTCCGTTCACAGGCATAAGAGAGGCGAATCTATCATCCCGAGGGGAGATAGGTTTCCTCTCGGCAGAGGTTCAAGCCCTGTTGCAAAAACAGGCAGTGACTTCGCAGCCTGAATTTCCACATTGGTGCAGCCGGGCGATTGGTTCACAACCATCGACTTGAGGGATGCTTACTTTCATGTCGAGATTGCTCCGAAACACAGAAAGTATTTGCGTTTTGCCTTCCAGGATGTAGCCTACGAGTAACAACAGATATACCGTCCGGCTATTCCCTGTCCCACGCACGTTCAGCATATGTGTGGCCACAGCGCTCCAACCGCTGCGCGCCCGTGGCATGAGAGTTTTTCTTTTATCTGGACGACCTCATAGTCATGGCCAGGTCAGGGAATGGGCAATGTTTTTACACAGCCCAATTGATCCTACACCCTAACCAAAATGGGCTTTACGATCAATTTGAAGAAGAGCACCCCCCATACCTCACCAACAGGAGTTATATTTGGGAGTGGTGCTCGATGCAGGCAGGCAGTTGCGGACTGCGACAGGGGGCAACAGTGACAGCTTTGACTATCATGCAGACACTGGGGTCTCATGGCGGCTGCTCACGTTGTGGTCCCGCTCGGGTTACTGCATATGCGCCCGCCTGCAGAGGTGGTTCTCCAGCCTGCGTTTGGATCCCAAGAGGCACAACCGGCGTCTGGTGACCATCCCCCCCTCAGTGGAGGGCAACCTCCGGTTCTCGGGGTCCCCAGATCACCTCCGGAGGGGGTCTCCACTAGAGCTGAACGATTAATCGATCTTAAATCGAAATCGCGATTCTAAATGATGCGATTATCAAATCGCAAAGCCTGTGATTTTTTTTCAAACTTTTTTTTTTCTTTCTTCTTGTATGTCAGTCATCCACACCAATCAGAAGTGCTGTGCTCCACATGTACCAGCCATTGTTAACTAATCAGAAGTGGCCCATGATAGAAGGTGATATACGGATTGATCCAATCACCTGCCAAGTATTTTTGAAAGTGCCTGCCCTTTCCAAATGGCTTCCAATGGAGCTTTCCTAGATGGTTTGAGTCAGGTTAGTAATGCTCCATCACATGTTTTACATCTATTACAGGGTGAATCTTTAACTGAAGCTTGACTTTAAAGCAGTGGTTCTCAAAGTGGGGGGCGCAGAGGCATGACAGGGGGGGCGCAAGAGACCAGGGGGAAAAAATGGTTATTAAAAAAAACATATTTTGAAAAATATTGATTGAAATAATATGATACAGTACAGTACTATTACGTCTGGGTCTCTGTGTTTCATTAAAGCTCGGCTCTGTGTGTGTGTGGAACGAGCCATTTTGTGTGCAGTGCGCGAGCGGGAGAGAGAGCGCACCGGGACCGGAAGATTGTTCTTGTTAGGCTTCTGGTGCTAGCGAGCTACGCTAACGGATATAAGGAGTTTTTTCAACAACAAAGTGGAGGAGAGTCCTCTCCTGTCAGACTGAGAGACTCAGTGAGCTAAAGGACTCTCAGTGTATCTCAGTGGGTCTCAAACGTTTTGGTCTCAAACGTTTGGTCACCATTAATGTAAACAATTATTTTCCGAGGCACACATTTATATGATCATTATAGTTAAAAAAAAACAAGGGAATAAATTAAAAACAGGTATGAAATACTATATGACATTAAAAAAAGAATAAAGTTTAAAAGGGGAGTGATTTGTAAAATATCCATAAAGAAAAAGTAATCTGTTTACAGTTCTGTTTCATATGGGTGTTGAGAGATGTATCCATAGATCTCTTAATTTTGCTCTCAAAGTGCACCAGATTGATGCTTTTAACTTCAATATTTAAAAATCTTCCGGGGGAGCTTGCCCCCGGACCCCCCCTATGTGAGGTCCACACACCACCTATAAAAAATAGCACTTTACCGCTGCTTACACCTATATGCCGTGAGCTGATTATCGAGCCTTCATTGTAACAGTCGCGGGTTACACTGTGTATATGCGTGGGGATTGTTGCAGTTGAAAACGGGTGACCCGCAAAAAGGTGATTCGCGGGTGGTATTTTTTCAACGCTTTTTTCCGGGTTTGGTTCTGGGTAAAACCAAAGATGATGCGGGTCGGGTCGCGGGTTATTGCATAATAAATATATTAAAATAATAATAATTTAGTATAATGTTTAAATCCTCAGACCTCTCCCCCGCGGGACCGCGCATAATCATAACCTCTGCAGCGCATCAATCTGCTGCTGAGCGCCACATTCGAAATGGCTGAGGTGAAGCTCTCTAGAGGAGAATACAGCATTTTCAATAAACACATCCTCAAGAGCGAAATCCAACGTCTGGGAGGCTTTTGGTGTCATCCTAGATGGAGAAAAGAACCAACATCCCACGCTTTTTGAGACAAATATGCAACTGCGTGTGTTAATAAATTGCACATTTTCACTGCTCATATATAGGCTATGCGGGGTTCGGGTCGGGTTGCGGATCTTGTGCTGACGGGTCGGGTCGGGTTGCGGAACTAATTGGCATATGTGCGGGTAGGCGGGGCGGGGTTCGGTATTGCACGTCGCGGGTGCGGGTCTTGAAAATCAGACCCGTGCAGGACTCTGACAGGCAGGGCAGAGTCCGCTCCACCGCGTTGTTGACGCACAGCGGAGAAACTGTGGTTAATTGGGCTTCAGAGGTGGTGTTAACTCTGGGAGCCCTCCACATTCCGGGTCTGGAGAACAGGGGGGGCCGACCTCATGTCGAGGGGCGCCCCCCTGCCAGGCGAGGTGGGCGCTTCACCCAGAGGTGGTGAAGCAGATCTGGGCCCGGTTCGGGACAGCAGAGGTGGATCTGTTCGCCAGCCGGCGCAAACAGCCACTGTGCCCTGTTGTTCTCCATGGCTTTGAGCAACGACCCGCCCTTGGGGGGGATGCGTCTGCACACGAGCCATGGCCAAGAAAGCTGCTCTACGTTCTCATTCTCCCTCTCCTGGGGAGAGTGAGGCGGGAAACGTCTGTCAATCATCATAGTAAGCGCCGGATCATGTCAGGGCTCCGTGGTACTCAGAGATGACACAGAGCAATCGGGGCGTTACCCACTCTGGGCCGACCTCTCCAGGCTTGGCTCCTGAGAGGGACAGGCTAAGACAGGGTGGATTGTCTGATAGCTGTTATTCAGTCTATCCAGGCAGCTAGAGCGGGATCCCACCACAGTTGTTACAGGCCAAAGTGGCTGGGATTCCTGCGATGGTGTGAGGAGCGGAAAATAGAGCCCCATCTTGTGAGTTGGGATCTATTTTGTCGTACTTACAGTTATTGGTGGACAGAGGGCTTGCTCATTCCACAGTGAAAGTGTATGCAGCAGCCATCTCGTCCTGCCATGAGGGATTTGACGGCAGGACAGCCTTTTCTCAGCCACTGATGTTGCGGTTTTTACGGGGGGTCAGGAGGCTGCGCCCAGTAGTGCACGCCTCCGCCCCCGCAGTGGGACCTGCCGCTGGTGCTTGAGGCTCCTAACCATTTCAGCCTCTGGAGCTCTCCTCCCTGAAAGCACTGTCGTGGAAGACAGCATTGCTACGTCAGCCAAGAGAGTGTTAACCGCTCTATCGGTGCACCCGAGTTGCTCGGTGATCCGGGGTGACCAGAGCGGGGCGACACTCAGACCGAACCCCTACTTTGTGCCCAAGAGCCTAAGGAGTGCGTTCAGGTCGAGGGCTATTCAGTTGGGGGGCTTTAATCTTCCACCCCATAGTGGGGAGAGGGAGGCTAAATTGCACCTCCTCTGCCCGGTGCGTGCGCTAGCGTGTTATGTGGAGCGGCTGCCCTTTGACGCACTGAACAGCTGTTTGTGTGCTTCGGGGGCGGGGTGACCGGGGAAGCCCTGTCCAAGAAACGCCTGGCAGGCTGGCTCTGCGAGTTCATTGCACATGCCTACGGACAGGCGGGAGATCAGTGAAGCTGCTTAGTGGCCAAAGGGAACTTCGAAACAAATAGTTACGTCTCCAGGGGCAAACATATATTTTTGCAGAAACATGCATTGTGTAGCACAAACCCTTGCTATATATACACAACGACAGTGATGATAACAAATACAAGTTTAGAATTAACATTAGTACCTCATTATTTCTGATTTAATAATTTTAGAAAGAAGCATACCTCAGAGCATGGTTTCTGCTTAGGCTTGGCTGTCGCTCTTGCAACATATCAAATATGTTTGGCTGTCGAAGGAATGCCACAATTTTGTCATTGTACGCTAGAGAAAAGATAGAGAAAAACAAATAGAGAATAAGCAGTTAAAAGACAAAAAAAGATTTATGGTGTACATCTCCCATACTGTTATATTGAAACCTGCCGAAGTGACGGACACAGTCCAACATATGTTGGGCTAGAAAACACAAGCAGCCAGTTTTTATAAAAAATAATAAAATAAAAATAATTTCATTAAAAACCTTCCAGATGGTACGTTTTTTTGTTCGGGCTGATACCAAAGTCCAGGTATTAGTATCGGCATTGAGAAAGTCGAATCGGTGCATACCTACTTAAAACAATGAATTGCATCAGGTTGATTGTGGCTTAATTAATGATATTAGGCTTTGACAGTGCTTACAAGGAGCAGTCAATTGTTGTGAGTTGTTGTGCTGATTTCGTATGGCGGCTACCAGGCTATTTCCAGGCCTGGCCATTAGGGAAGCCCCACGACTCCTGGACACATCAGAGGCCTGGCAACAAACACCAACAGCACAAACTTCACATAAACATTTTTTCACATCCTTCATTATCATATTTATAGGTTATTTTCTGTAGATTTATTTGTTCAACAAATCCCATGAGCATCCAAGTAACAAAATATGGACCTGATTAAAAAGTATTATGTGTATCTAAAGCCTGATATCTTTCATTCCTTTGTGCCCATAAATCGCCTTTGTTGTCCAAAAGCGTTATAGGACATCAGTCATGCTACAGTACATTTTCAGGAAGGGAAATATTTGTGGATTCAATGACGACAATGAGTCACTTAGAATTGATGGTACAGGTAGGAGTGTGTACCTCCCCAGCGCTATAGCTGCGCAATCTCTGCAGATGTTGACTGTGAGCAAGGTGGCCAGGCAGCCGGCCACTCTGCAGAGGGATGCGCGGGTCAATGAACGTCGTGGCACGACTGTTGTGGTCCACAAAAAAAGACTAAGGAACAGAGAAAAAAAAAAAACTGAAGTGTGTTTTTGCCAAATATTTATTTGAAATGATCTTCCACAGAATGAATACATTATGAATCACATTTTATTTAAAAAAAAAGGTTTTTGAATATTAAAATAAGTACATTTTATGCAAAAAACATTGACATGCCTTTAAACTACATATCTACTCTCAATCCTGACCTCAGAATTAATACAACATCAATATGCTATTAACATGATCATGATCATCATCTATATGGCTTGATCATTTACATAATATTATTGAGTTTGTATAGAATATTTCATAAAAATGTCATTGGTCTTGTCCTGTAACACTGCTTTTGGCACTGCACTAGTTGTAATCTCTGTCTGCTAGTTGTGTACAATTATTCATATAACTCTATGGTCACAATTCTATGCCCACCGTCATTTTACATTCGTAACTTACCTTGCCCTGGGGGTCAGTCTTGATCTCCCAGCCTCTTGGTAGCTCCAGCTGAGTGTCTGCGAACTTGTTGAGGAAAACCACAAGGTCCCGGTTATGCTGGTAGCGCTCAAAGTTTCTGGCATCGCGGCGCACCTTCAGAATCATGTGTTTCACACAACTGCTGTTGGTGAACACCCGGTAGGCTGCCTGTCAAGAGAACATCAACACGTTTACGTTGATATTTATAAAATAAAATCACTGATAGTGGGAAACATACTTTTTGGGTAGTGTTGGCAATGTAATCATGAGTAAAGATCCAGCCACATATCAATAGCCTTCCCACTTCATACTGGCGAGATGAGAAATAGTTTTTGACTCGTAACGCCACTATTGTGCAATATTTGGAAACTAATTGCAATGGTATATCTATCCACCAGGTGAAGCAGTGGTTTGGAAAAGGAAATGAAGGAAGGTAGAAGGAAATAGGAAAGACAGTCAAGGTAAGAAAAATGGAATGAAGGAAGAAAAGGAGGATAGAGAGACAATGAAGGTCACTGACTTTCCTTTTATCCTTTCCAATTCCCTACTTTCTTTTTTACATTTCTCCTTCCTTTACTTCATTCCTGCTCTGTAGTTGGAGTACAACTGGACATTCTGGAGGAGGTGGCGGAGGGGATGACACAGAGGAAGTCCGTAGGTGTTCAAACCCCACTACAGTCAGCATGTCGTTGTGTCCCTGGGCAAGACACTTCACCCCAAATTGCTCCTGTGGAGATTGCCCACAGTATTGAGTATGTATGTCGCTTTGGATAAAAGCATCTAACAAGTAACATGTAATGTAATATTTTATCTTTACCTTGTGTGAATCCTGTGTTCACTCTGACCCTGTTGCTGCTATAACGCTTGAATTCCCCCACGGGGATTAATACAGTTCCATCTTATCTTTATCCTATCTTCCTCCCTTATTCCATACTTCCTTATTTCTTCAGTCAAGGAGAGGGATTGGTTTCAGGGATAAATTCATTCAAATCACAAGACGGAGACACAAACATGTGTATTTTATACTTATATAAAAGATAATGTCAAAGATAATCCACCATCTGTATTTCTCTAGAGGAAAATATCTGTTTCTGTTACTACTATTAACATTCCTATTGATGCAAATATAAGGAATGCACAACAAAAATGCTATTTTGTTTTGACGCTTTGATATATAAGATTTCAAAGTGACCACCTAGTGGTGCAGTGACGCATCATAAAACCCGGAAGTAAGCTGCGCATGGGTTCCCTCGACAAAAAGCAATGGGATTTCTCCATAGGATTTTGGAAAAATAGCTTGAAATAAGGTCTGTGGAAAATGAACCAGTTAGATAAATGCACGTTTTGTTCAGCGGGATAATATCCACATGTCTACCCTACTTTTATAATTTTCTAATGTTGTGGAAATAATTATCATAAGACGCCAATTAGTAACATACAGGACAAACCTTGATGTCTGTTTACCTTCTTTAAGGACACAGGCGGCTTAGCCAATAATGTTATTGTTCCCATTCTGTGACCGGTCAATACTGGGATACAGATGGTCTGTGTTGTGGGTACACTGGGACACTTCCTTCTCTGTATTTGTGGACTCCAAGTAAAATCTTCGAGGGTCATAAGTGTCCGAGGCAAGTAGCTCTGTGTTCCCACACTGTTTAGGCTATCTCCTCAAATATGTTGTTTACTCTCTGCGAAACAGTTAGATGGGCTGGCAAGAGAGAGGCTCTCCAGAATTGACGTGGCAACTCTACCGTGAAGTCAGAACCTCTGACTCTTGGACTTGTGATGTGAATCCTCCGGCCGTTTAACTCCAAATAAACCATCATGTGTTTGACATCAAAGCTACTGCTCTTCCCATGTCTCCTTCCTGAGTCGGTGACTCCCACTGCATAGCTACACAGAAGTTTCCATTACACTATCATAAATCTAGATTATGATTAGAAAATTATAAAAGTAGATAGAAATTACTCATTCCAGTTTAACGTGTTTTGTGTCGAAGTGACTTAACATAATGTATCAAGCGAAAGGTTAGAAAAAAGATTGCATTTATCTGTAGGTACAGACACTAATAATAAGCAATAAAGACCTTTTACTTAAAATCAAGTATTTTAAGAGGCTGCTGGCTGCAGCTCCCTCATTATACAGTATACCAATTAAGTGACATTTTTTACTCAATTGAGTGACATTAAAATAATGGTTAATGTCCTTCATTAGTCACTTCAAAACAATAAAGTAAAATAGCATCCAGGTCAGCAAATATAGTTTACAACTTTATCCTAAATGTTGTATTATAAATAATTAAAGTTTAGGGAGATATACTCTATTTATGTATGTCATTCTAAATATAATAAACTATATCTGATATGAAGCTCTGAAAAAAATTAAGAGAGCACTCTGTGTCTGTTGAATTCCAACACAGAGAAATGTTGTCAGTAGTTTATAGATTAAAATCAAAAAATTATAATTTTACTCAAACACATACCTATACATTGGTGGTCTCTTAATTGTTTCCAGAGCTGTATCTACATAGCCATTATTTTGTGTGTGTGAAGGACTAACATAGTTACTGTGCAACACAGTGAAGAATTCTGGGTGTGTGATGAACTTGACAGCAGGCGATTGGAGGAGATGACTGATCCTCTGGTGATTGACAGGGGAAGCGGGACCTGCAGACAAACAAGGTGAATTACTTTCTCTGTTTTAAGCACTAAAGTAGGTTTTTAAAGAGGCTTTATATGAACTATTAATAAATATAATATTTGACATTTAAAATATGATAAACCATTGTAAATGACATTGAAACCAAGAAGCCAGTATTATGTCATATTATGCCGTGAAAACATACACTATATAGACAAAGTATTGGGCCGATCCTAGAAAAAACAACCCCATAGCATTATCCCTCCTCCACCAAACTGTAAAGTTGGCACAATGCAGTCAGGCTGGTAACGTTCTCCTGGGTTACGGTCGAATTGTCAGTTTAGCTTAGAAACCTTCCTAATGGAGTGAAATGACCCGGAAGTACCTCAGTGGCCGCCATGATAAGAGCTGTTCAAATTCTCTAGATGATAGGAAAGGAGGTTTGAAACTTCCTTTATAACCTCCTTTAGCTTAAGAAACACTGGACCTTCCTTTACGAAAGGGAAAAAAGAAATGCTGTCCCACAATACCTTGCGGGCAGAGTCCTGCACGGGTCTGATTTTCAAGACCCGCTCCCGCCCCGCAACCGCGACGTGCAATACCGAACCCGCCCCGCTACCCGCACATATTGCCAATTAGTTCCGCAACCCGACCCGACCCGTCGGCACAAGATCCGCAACCCGACCCGAACCCGCATAGCCTATATGAGCAGTGAAAACATGCAATTATTAACACACGCAGTTGATATTGTCTCAAAAAGCGTGGGATGTTTGGTTCTTTTCTTTATCTAGGATGACACCAAAAGCCTCCCAGACGTTTAGATTTCGCTCTTGAGGAAGTGTTTATTGAAAATGCTGTATTCTCCGCTAGAGAGCTTCACCTCAGCCATTCGAATGTGGCGCTCAGCAGCAGATGATGCGCTGCAGAGGTTATGATTATGCGCAGTGAGGATCCCGTGGGGGAGAGGTCTCGAGGATTTAAACATTATACTAAATTATTATTATTTTAATATATTTATTATGCAATACCCGCAACCCGACCCGCATCATCTTTGTTTTACCCAGAACCGATCGGGTTCCAGCGGGTACCCGACCAATGCAGGACTCTGCCTTGCGCCGCAACATTTACCGTGACACACATTCGGCCGTTATCGGAAACAACCGATTATGACGAGAAATTATATCATGAAAGATACGGTGCGTATAAAGCATTTTAAATATATGAGGGTAACTGCCAAAGTGCTTTGTTTTAAACGTTCATCACTATTATAAACATTAGTTTTTTACTGAAATGATCAAATAAAAGTCAACATTTCACAGTGTTTACTGAGCTGGTGGGGTGTTCTTAAACTTTTAAAAACATGTTTAATGGTGATATACACAGTCATAGGTTAAGGACTTACACGTTTATAATAATTACATTGGTATTTATTTTTAAGATCTTTTCATACAATCATACGTATTGGGATCATTTGTATTAATGTGGATCGGAGGGTGAGGGTGGCAAGCATAAGTTTCACTTCACTTTTTTATGTCAATTCCAACCTCGGTCATGAACAATATGTTTCACTGTTGTCCACGTTCATAAAGCATAAAACAACACCATAAGAGCATGGTGCTAAGTATATACAGGGTTCCTGCAGGTTTCACCAACTCAAATGTAAGACTTTTTTAAGACCTTTTTAAGACAACTCTGAATAGAATTTTTAGACTTATTTCACGGCAAGAAAGTATGAAGGAAAATTGCTATGAAAGAAGAAATACGTACCATAATTACTTACAAAGTAAATGTATTCATGTTCAACATAAGAACGCTTCGTCGTCCGACTAACGAAAACGGCCGATTTCGGCTTGGTGTGTCAGGGCCTTAACAGTACACAGAACTGTGTTAGAGTGTTAGACAAAAGTGTGTATGTGTGTGTCTCTGGATGTGTGTGTGTGTGTGTGAGTGAGTGACCAAGAGCTATAGTCAGAGGTCTGCTGTCTTCATGCTGTTGTATGATTGGTGTTTAGCTATGGTATTTAGCGTCAACAGCACCTCTGCTTTTAGGGATGACGTAGACTCAAACGTCGCCCGGAGGTCCCCCGGTGTTGTTGCGGGAGCTGCTGCACTAGCTAACGCAGCACTAGCTAACGCTGCACCAGCAAAACAAATGCTAATTTATTTTGCAAAAGGTGCAGCGGGCTTCTAACACGTTCCCCTCCACTGATTTCAACCAAGCGCTAAATTCGATGTTGTCCAACCAAATATGGTTGAACTTACACTTCCCCATATTTATTTGTAAGTAGATTCAAAGATACCTAATTTCTGACTGCCGCTAGCTGAAGCTTGGTTGCTAGGTTACTAGCTGGGTGTTCTCCGATAAGGGGCCGGGGGGGAAACAAAGTTAATGACTACTGGTACCATGTTGATTTATTTCAACACAAATTGTTGGGGGAACTGAAAGGCTCTTACCGTACTGGTTACTTTGCAGCCCGGACATTTCCCCCAAAACACATTTAGACTTGATTGCTACACAGAAGTACCTTTCAAATCCGATCATTTTTAAGACCTTCTAAATCATATTTAAGACCTTTCTTATTTTTTTGATCATATTTAAGACCTTTTTAAGACCTCGCAGGAACCCTGTATATAGATGTGTTTACAGCAGTGTTGGGTGTAACGCGTTACAAAGTAACCACACTAAATGTTTCGGTATGCAGTAATGCAGGGGCCCAGTGTGCCCAGTTAATGCAGTTAACGTGGAAGTGAATGGACTTGGTTGGAATGACACCACTTACCAGTGTTGCAAAAGAATGGACAAAGGCATGCTAACTCAAAGCTAGTTAGCAGCTACAAGGATTCCAATGAACAGCTGTGTACCGGGTAATAAATCTACAGGTTATAAATCTACAATTGGTAGTCCTCCCCTGGAACTCTCTGGGTTGCAAGGCCGAAGAGTAAATCATTTCCATGGGATTTGGGAGGACGAACAACAGGCAGAGCCCAGCGCTCTGAAATCTGTGATGCGACCGGCTGGCCTGCATTGTTATCACCCAGGAAGAGCGCCTCTTCAACCCCTATTCATATTAGGAAACAGCCGTGGACAGCTGCTAAAGGGAGAACTACAAAAAATCCTCCTAAACCACTAAGTGTGCCAATCCAGAACAGATACGCTCCGCTGACCGAGAACCGGAGATCTGATGACCTGGATAACCTGTCCTCTTCACACTGCAGGGTAAGGACCAATAGCTACTCCAAAAGTAAAAGGCTAGAGGGGAAAGCTAACGACTGGGCCTGAAACTCTGATTGTGGGTGACTCTGCTGTAAGAGATAGTAAAAAGTCTGTGTAGTAAGAACAACACCAAAGTACTCTGTTTTCCCTAGGATAAGGTCTCTGACTTGGCTGAGAAGATCCTGCATATTGGGGCTTGAACAATCAGACTGTAAAAAATGTAGTACGACGCCCATCAAAATCAATGAAGCAGAGACGCGCACCACCTCCCCCGTCTCCGTCACCGTGCCTACGTCAAACACCTCCTCCCCCTGGACGCACACCAACACCCCCTGTCACCATGCCTACCACAATCATCTGGACCAAAACGTCCTCCCACCTTCAAGACTGCTGTCTCCGAAGCCTGATAAGGATGTGTGTGTACAAAACGCTGCAAACTGATATGTGCTGGGTCCAGGCTCAAGGGCGTATGGCACTCTCAACTCTTTCCAGGACATGCCGGGGCCCTGCCTGCCTGTAGCTTGCCCGATATCTGTGTGTGTTGATAGGTAATAGATTAAGAGCGGTGAATCAGCTTAGACACAGGAAGCGCTCAAAAGTTTGTGTGAGTTTATCAAATTTAGAAGTGATTCCATGTCAGCCACAGCTTGTTACAAAAAACCTGACTGATAGTGTGTTCAACAAACTTAAACTAGCTTTATTAAATGTCAGGTCTTTGGCAGGTAAAACATTTTTAATCAATGATTTTATCACTGAGCACAATCTCGATTTTATGTTTTTAACGGAAACATGGATTGAACAAAATAACAGTGCAGCTGTTCTTATCGAATCAACCCCTCCCAACTTTAGTTTTATGAGTCAGGAAAGAATGCATAAGAGAGGAGGTGGAGTTGCAATTTTGTACAATGATTCCCTTCAATGCAGGAAGACATCTTATGGGAACTTTGCTTCTTTTGAATATGTGGCCCTTCAGCTGAAATGCTCCTCTCGAGCTCTGTTCCTAAATATCTATAGACCACCCAAATACTGTGCAAGCTTTTTTGATGACTTTACTGAACTGCTGTCAATAGTGTGTATTGACTTTGACCGTCTAGTCATTGTTGGTGATTTTAACATCCATGTTGACAACCCCCAGGACAGAGGGGCTAAAGAACTGTTTTGTGTTCTTGATAACTATGGACTGACTCAGCATGTGACGGAGCCCACGCACAATAAGGGGCACACTCTGGACTTAATTAAAGGGTCTGAATATCTCTGAGGTTGTGGTGACTGATGTTGCACTCTCTGATCATTCCTGTGTTTTCTTTGAGAGCTCTATTTCTGTTCACAAAATGTTCAAAAGAGGTAACCACAAAGCGATATTTAACTGAAAACTCTAGGGAAATGTTTACTCAGAATTTTTCTTCCGCACTTGCCCCTGCTAACATCTCAGTAAATGAGTTAGTAGATCATTTTAATTCAAAAATAAAAAAATGTATAGATGCCATTTCTCCAACTAGGGTAAAGGAAGTGACTGGGAAGAAAATATGTCCATGGAGAAAGGCCATGACCGTGAGAACAGAGAAAAAAGAGTGTCGAAAAGCTGAACGCAGGTGGCGAAAAACAAATCTCCAGGTGCACTTTGAAATCTATAAAGAGAGACTTGGCCTTTATAATTTGGAATTGAAATTTGCCCGACAGTCTTTCTTCTCTGATATCATTGCCAAAAACAACGCACGTGCCTTGTTCGCTACCGTCGACAGACTAACTAACCCCCCAGTGTCAGTAGCCTATGAATTTCTATCCACCAGGGCGTGCAATGATTTTGCCTCC